CCCTCTGACCCTCCTCCCTCTCATGCTCTCTGTCTCTCATTCTCTCTGTCTCAAATAAATAAATAAAATCTTTAAAAAAAAAAAAAAAAGAACCAACTTCCCAAGTGAACACCTACGTGATTGATTCTAGATAGGAGCCCCCTTCAGAAGACCTTTCTACTCTTCTGAAGGCCTCAGAGTATCAGTCAAACAGCACTACAATGTGATACACCCAATACCAAGTCAGAAGCCGTTCACCAAATCTAGTAAGAGGATTATTTCATTTCATTCATTTCATTCTTAAAGAAAGACAGATGTTAGCTTCGTGTTAGCTAACTTTTTTTAAGAGCATCCGAAATGGAAAAAGTAAAGAATGGTTGTACTTTGTCCTTTATATCTTCCAGCAAATTTGACAGGTTCTGTCATGGGCTTTGTCTACAAGTATGAAACAAAGCAGAATGTTTTATAGTAATGCAGCATATTGAAGTCCTTTCACAAAGTCAACCCTGGTAAAACAGATAATAATCCATATGAAAAGAAAGCTCTCCTTCTTACCACTTTAGGTTTTATAAAGTCTAAAATAGAACCTTTGAACTCTCATCACTTCTGAAATTCATCACTGTGATGCCTGCAGAGTTTGAAGTCTATTTTCAATTGACTATACTATTTCTATTGGGGGGGGAACAAAACGAAGGCATGTCTCCAGGATAATGGCTCTAAAAGTAACACTTTTTATATGTGCCCCACCAATATTAATAATATCTACCATTTATTTTGTGTGCTTCATAGTTTATAAAAGCGATTCATATGCCTATCTGACATAATCGTCCCATAATTACTCCTAGTCTTATTCATTCAACAAATATATTCTATATGCTCCTATATACCAGGTTTGGGGTTAAGTGCTGAATGTGAAGTCATGCGATCCCATGATTTAGGGGCAGCCACTATTGATAAGTAAGTTCCAAAAATTTTAAGTGGCTGGTCCAGGATTTTACAATGAATAAATTGTAAAGCTGAGAGTTGCAAATAAAAGCCATTATCAGCAAAAGGATCCTGTAAATAATCCCTTCCACCATTCTCAGTTTGTGAGAACTACATCACACATGACTTTTTTCCTTTCAGGAAATACCTGGTTGGTGACTTCTACATGTTTTGTATGTAATCATCATGCCCAGCAAATACACACTGTGTTCAGTGCAAAATATTTACTTCTTTATGATTATTTTTAAGTAAAAATGAACATATTACCAAACTGCAGTTACTTAGAGTATGTCCAAGAAGTGACTAGCCAAATTTGCAGTGATCTGCCACCAACAGGGAAAAGCTTTCCAGTGCCTACTTCAGATAAGAAAGGCTTTACAGACTTATTAAATATTAAATGCATTATCAAGAGGGGCACCTTCATGGCTTAGTCGGTTAAGTGTCTGACTGGCTCAGGACATGATCTCAGGGTCTTGGGATTGAGCCCTGCATCAAGCCTTGCTTGGAGCCCTCCATCAGGCTCCATGCTCAGTGAGGAATCTGCTCATCCCTCTGCTTTCCCCCAACTTGTGGTGCATACTCTCTCTCTCTCTCACTTTCTCAAATAAATAAAATCTTTTTAAAAAATGAATTATCAAGACACTCAGAGACTCTATGTAGAAATATTTTAAAAACTTGACAGATATATCTCCCACCTAACTGGATTAAAGTGCACTCTTGGTGTATTCAGCTAAGAAGATGCAGAAGGAACAATCATGATGTGCTCTGCCATTGTTAAGCCATAGGACAGTTTCCAGGGTGTCTTCTTTTTTTTT